GGGGGGGGTGAAGACCAGGGTTGGGTGGTGTGGAGCGCTTGCATCAATTGCATGCACCAATGGCGCCCCGCCACTTCCTATGGGCATATTGATGAGACCGTTAATCTTTGTTGTGGTGTGCAGTCTGAGATTTGGTTTATTTTTAGACTGTCCACCGTGGGCAATGTTTCGGCGCTATACGGCAGGAGTACGTTTAAGATGTGCCATCATTAATATTAATGTAACGCCAAACTTGCAACGAGTGTCATCATCTCTTGGGTTTTCCTGGCCCAAAAAGCCATTTATAGGTCGGATTACCGCTGTTGAACACCCTGTTATGCTTAGTTAAATTAAAGCGCATGGCATGGCATTTAGATGTCTCCACTCCCACCCACCCTCACATTCCAAAATCCAAAAAGCAACCCCACTCAGTTCAGTACTAAAAACAGGGACACAACTCTGCACATTCAAAATGTAATACAATAGTTTTGTCCCTTGATGCAAACAGCCGGAATTAATAATTAATAATCAGTTCTGTTCCGTAACTTGGGATCATTGTCGCCGTCAAATAAACATATAGACGTACACGTTATAAATTCTAGATCTATTGATTTTAATTTTGATTTGAGCCGTGTGCACAACACTCAAACAAAACTATTTCATTGCATCAAAATTATATCCTGTTCACCCCTTTTGGCCCACTTTTATAAGCAGTCACAAACACGTAGGATTATGTGAGCTAACAATTGGATTGGTCCAGAACTGTGAGGGGGACTAGATCGAACTCCTAGGCCAAATAATCTCATAGCTGCTGCGAGCTCCAAGCAAAGATTCCTGTACCTTTGCCTGTACTATCTTTGCTCCAAGTCTCCGAGGCTGTGAGCTTGTTTTGTTTTTTCCCCTCGACTTTTTTATCGTATAAAATCAGGTCACGATTTGGATTCCCTGGCCCCTGGCCACAATAAGCAAGCCGAGACAAAGACCGCCAAATTCGAAACCAAATTGCTAATAGGGCCTACATAATTTCCAGTATTGTCAACTTTGCTTCTTTGATCTTTGCCTTCTGTTTATGTATTGATTTCTTTAGTTAAGTTAATTATTGAACAATGTTGAGATTATTATTCCCACTGTGCGTTTAAAAGTCATAATTACGGTTTGTCTAATGTGGGAATAAAAATTACTAAATAAGATGTTTTTTCTCTATTATTTTGGCGGGTGAACTTAAAATAATATCAATTAAAAAAAAAATAAATAAT